ATGGTATTATTTTATTTATTTTCGTCCATTTTTTAAGCTTCAATTTTTTTATTTAGATAACTTTTGTACGGACCGATTAAACACTGGTACATATTAGAAACATACAAATTCGTATCATAGGCAAACAGATGCCTTTAAATCTAATTTATATATCGTTGAAGCATTAAAAACTCACTTAACGAATTTTACAGGAAACATATTTGTACTACTGTTCAATATATCTATAATAAAATGCAAAATCTTTCACGGGATTAAATAACACATTATATTATTTAGATAATCTAACTTATCCCGTGCTAGTGGTACGCCAATGCAATTTATTTAACACTCCGCTGAGACTAATAAATGTGTAGGGCCCTCAGATCCTCCAGTATATCCCCTCCCTTACCTCACACCACACGTTTTTCCACTCCTGGCCAACAAGTGGACTGATTTTATTGTTGGCATCACATATATTCTATTTTATGAATGAATAGTTATATCTCTGGTGTGACGGTATCGTTGTGACAGTTTTTAACGTAATTTTTTTTATTCGTCATTGAAAGTGGGTCGCGGTAAAGTAACTCCAAAAAAAATTAGGGATTTAATCATAAACAAACATAAACATAAGTTTCCTAATAAATATCTGAAATAAAATTATGAAAATGCCGAACATATAGTGGTTAGGGCTCACATATTGAAGAAAAAATATCGACCCTGTTATGATTCGATCCTCAGATCTTGGATTCGAAAATCCAGACTCTAACCACTGACCTACCGACCTCCGTATTATATTATTCTTATAATGCAGCTAACATTTCAGCACCCACTCTGTTGCTCAATAGTGCTAATAAAATTAGTTAAAATATACAAGTTACTAATTATTACAAAATACAATTTATTTATTACCATGGTTATAAAACTGTTAAATATATATCCACCAGGATCTCTTGAACCTTTCTCGTATTTTTCAAAAGATATTTTGTTTCTTCCTTGCTGAATTAGCGACAAATTGAGTTTTCCACTAGTTCCCTATCAAATTTCATTCAATAAAACCGTTTGCATAACTTTTCCTCCACCTAGTTCTAATATCCTTGTCCTTCACAAGGACCCGGCCTACTTGATATATCTAATACATTTGATTATCTGCTTTTACTTCCTATACATTTTCTTCTCCCATTTCCGACTCCCGAACTTCTCTAGAAATTTTCATATAGCTGTACTTTTTGGGAATGTCTTTTAAGCATCCCCTTTTACCTCCTTGTTGTACCTTAGTGTACCGCTTCTAACCACCTCCTTGTTTCATTATCTACAAATTTGTTACTTGATTTAATTCCTACTACTTCCTCAGTATCAAATTTTACATCTATTAAGTTGAGGTGGGTGGCTCAGTGGTAGAGTCTCTGCCTGCGGATTCAAGGATCCCAGGTTCGAATCCCACCGTTGGCCGGGATTTTTTCATTTAATTTAATTATTTAAAATTAATTCTGATGCCTTGGTAGGATTCCCCACTCGACCATTCACTGTTGGGTTCTAATTAACAATACTGTTCCTGAAGTGGCGCTGGGAAACAGTAACAAAGCCTACACAGAACACACATGATTGAGAATTTAAACACAAACTGAGACTGGCATATTAGGTACATACACCATACACCTAGGCCATAAATCGAAAAAGAAAAAAGGTGAGGCGTTGTCTGTATAAAAGTGTAGTCTTTCAGCCTCGTGAGTATGAGCAAGGTAGTCAAAACATAGTGCTTACATCGTGATTTCGCGATAAATTTTAAAACCTTTATTTTACTGCTTTGCTATGGAATTATAGGCGGCGCTACTTTAAACACCGTTTTTGGATACAGGTCGAAAATTGATTGATTAAAATGGGCGACCTTGAGCTTTGAAACCTGTTTATATGCAATTCTAATATTTGAGTTAATGTATATTTTATGGGCTGTGGCTCTACAGGTCCGGTTTCCTGTTGCTGTGGTTGCCGTTTTCATTTTTGTAATTTAGTTGTTGTGGCCTATTGTTTACAAAAAACTGAAAGTTGGAAAATTTGGAACGAAGTTTTAGAGAATTTCGGTAATATCCGAAGCAAACTTTTTGAAACTTTTATTTTAGATAATTAAATTTTTAAAGTGTTGAATATAGGCATAAATTTGACATTTCTATTACTCACAAAATTAAATTAGTTGCAAGAATTTTATTTTAATTAAATAAAGTTTTTTTCACGCACAATCAAAATTATATTTTTTGTTTCCACTGTATACCTTCAGAATAGCAAAAGACCCTGTAGATTGTGTTTGATCACGGTAATATTACCCAAAAATACTTAGTTAACTTTTTCCCAATAAAACTTCATAATAAAAGAAACTCATATTTAGAAAAATAAGATTTTTAATGTAATTAAAAAACTAACCGTAAATTTAAAGGAGGGGGAATTGTCTTTAGCCATTAATAATAAAGATAATGAAACATTAACTTTTTTCAAAATATTTTTCTCCTCTTTTGCCAAGTACTTTTATTTTAAAAAATGGTTTCTACGGTTATTTTAATTATATATCAAAAAAAAAACCTTATTACTTAAATTTTTACCAAATTAATAATTTACACGTGTGTTCTGGTTATCTATAATAGTGCATGTTTTGTAACGTATTTTATGTGGAGGAAGGCAATCGACTGAAAACATTTAACTCTCCAAATTGGTATAAAACTATTCGTTGATTAAAAAAATATTTCGAGGCATAAAATAGAGGCTGTTATATCAAGTTTTCAACAATACATGATCTATTAAAACAAGAAATTTCATGAAAATAACCATTCTTAGCGACTTTCATTACACACTAAGTATCAGTTCTATCAAATAGGTCAGTAACGTTGTTTTAAGGTTACTCTTAAGTTATTAGTGTTAGTTTTAGCCTACTGATAACATCCAATTAGTCACGTGAGATACGCATATTGTTGAAGTTTCTGTAAAATCAGTAATTTTTAGAAAGCAAGTGACCATACGCTGCATATCAAATGCAAGTACAGAAATAATAAAAGCCACGAGACGCGCCAACGTTAGATACGACACATAAGAACGTGCGATAAAATGTGATTTACTCAACCACGCTAATTAATTTTTTAACGTGATATTATGATAAAAGTATAATACACAATCTTCCTACGACCACTTAGGAAAGTGTCACATATCGCACCCTATATCACACGCGCGTGGATAAGAATCTACTTTCCGCTCGTGTGAGATATGAATTTACTTTCCGAATAAGCTGTCAAATGTCTCGCACGCATAATTTCTATTTTGATTTATGTAATTTCCATATTAATAGTAAAATTGATTTGATAAGTAAATTGTTAACATTAATTTTTATAACTAGATCTTATTTATTTTTAACAAATTTTTAAAAGAATTTTAAAGTAACTACCTACATTATTTTTTTTTCTGGTTTATATACCTATTTGATTAGATAATTCAAGTGACATAACCCTGATAGCGCAGTTGGTAGTGTTCAACTTTTTCAACTGCGCGTATCGCGACCATGTCGCGCTTTTTTAATTTCTTTATTTTGGAAAAATATTAAAAGTGGAAAAATACGACCATTTTTGTTTATTTATTTTAAATACATGTTATTTATCATAATATTACCCCTAAATCTTTTAGCTATTTATTTTGTACTATTTTAATTTCTGTTCAGAAAAAAATTGTGAGTAGATAAATGAGTAATCGTTTATAGTAAAAAAGTTTTTGTTCACTACTGTTCATCTTAATTGTTTAAAAATAAATAAACTAATGAAAAACATTATTGTATTCTAATATTTTTTTATTTTATATTTATCATCCCATGAAATTGTAAATGGAATCATAATGTTTTTGAATTTTGATAAAACACCATCTGTAAACACTTAAATGATTCAATAAGGCTTAAAAAACAAATCTAAAACCAGCAACATCTTGATGGAACCTTTATAGCCAGATTTGCTGGTTTTACTTTTTTTGATAAAATTATTTTGTGGTCGTAGAAAATATAATATACTATTATAAATTTTAATGTTAAAAAAATATTTTTATAGGTTTTTTATTTAATTTTAATTAAATTGGTACTAAAAGCAATCTTCCCTCTTCATTTCATGCCTGTCCCGACGGTAGGTCCAAAAACGACTAAGTCCATTTATACGATAGTTCCAACTCACTTAAAAGTATTAACTTTTAAGTCCATAAGGTTTACTGACTGTATCCTTATGCAGACAATGGCTGGGGCTATACATTTAGGTACTCTCATGAAAATTCCTAAGCCGTCTGTCTAAAGCAAGCGACCTTCAGCTTTCCACCCGACTCATGCTCGAAACGACGGAATCTTCTATGAATGCCGCTGACGCTCGAGAAACGGCTAGAAAGGGCGGAGCGTTCCGTTGAGTTAGAGATGGAATTTTTGGGAGCGTCTACAGACTTCTCGTAGCAGAGTTGGACTTGGTATAAATAGCCCTACTTATCGGCGGACAGTTTAGTTTAGTAAAACGTATTGGACTGAAAAGTTAAATTGTAATAAATAAATTAGAATTGTGAGTTAGTGCCTAAGTATTATATAAATTAATTAGTACGTCATAAATAAATTGTAAATAGTGTTTTAAATAAATAAACTATAAATAAATTAGACTATCGTCATAGTACAAAAAAGCGGTCAGTGAGGAAGAATTCTCGGAACATCAAATTGTTGTTTATGGGTCTCAAAAGTTAATACAAAAAAATAAAGGCGTGCACAAAAATTCACTCTGGTATTTTTTCCTAATATCAATTATTTCCTGTAATATTGATCTAATGGATGGATTGTATCTCAGCCTAAAGCATAATCTGGTTTAGTCTTAACGTTAGGACCTCTTTTCTCAGTGGCGTGCTCTGGTGGAAAACAACTCCTGTTAGCCCTAATTTAAAAATCCCACTAGCCAATCTAATCTAAGTGTGCTAGAAATTACATGCATACATTATCTTTTCCCTATAGATGCCTAATTTTTTTTTTCTTTTAGATTCCTGAAGTTATTAAAGCACCAATACTACCATTTTCTACAGTTTATTTACATATCATTCAACTAGAACCTTTATTTAAACAGCAAACAGAAGATATAAGCCATTCTACTCTATTCAATATGTATTTCTCTTCTTTATGTTATGGTCTAGTGACGCAAAACCCCTTACCAACGATTTGTGCCTTCCCAATTTACGTTAATTTGGGCACCATTACGGTATCTTTAAAAGTAAACGAATCAACAGTTACTCTTACAGATATAGACTTGCAAGATATAAAGAAATTTCATATGAATATTTTTGGCAATGTTATAAATATATTGAAATCTTTTGTTGCTTTTGATACTGGAAATGAACCAGAAATGATGTTGCTAGTTCCTGTAAATAAACAAGATAAGAAAATTGATTGGAATGTTTTGAAGCCCCATATTGAAATTAACCCTATTAATGAAATGAGCAATGATGAGAAATTAAAAATGGAAGTAACGCAGGAGTCACATTTGCGAAGAATTGTTAGTCCTTGGTACAGACGAGATCATTCTACTTACATAGTTACTGAGGTAGGTTAATCTTTATTTAACAAACTACATATGTTTGCACGTTCATGGTAAATAGGAGTTAGGTTTACTTGTGTTTAGTATTTGTTACGCGTCACTGAAATTTATATAAAATGTAATTTTAGTAGGTCACATCAAAATTAAGATTGTCGTCTGATGCAAATTGTTAATGGAGAATGTATTTTAACAACTTATAAGAGTCGGGTTTTAAAGTAAAAGTTGTCTCTTTGTTTTTAGGTATGTCTCAGTAGAACTGCCAATTCTCCATTCCCAAATGAAGATTATCATACTTTTAAAGAATACTTTAAATCAAAGCACAACATTACAATCCGTAATCCCGATTTGCCCTTGCTGTTGGTTAAGGGTTTGACCAAGAGTCTGAATTTCATTAAGGTAATAAGCATGTTTTAAAATAAGGTTGGCAATAAAAATTGTTTAAAAAAAAATTACGCTGTTACGATTTTTTTTTTATATATATAATTTAGTATTTTTATATTTGTACATTGTTATTTAGAAAAGTATTAATTTGTAGACGGCTCTAGAATTTTAGATTTAGCAGGGGCAGAAGTTGGAAAGATTTTTTCCAGTTCTCCCACTTTATACACATAAATTGACAGGTTTTCGGCGAATCTAACCGAAGTGGACGCGATACATTGTCGTAGAAAATTATTTTATAGATGTTAATAACAATTTCGAGTAAATAGTTTAATAAATTATAAATAGCTGTTGACATTTTGTAGAATTATGATTTGGATATTATATAATAATTATTTATAGTCTATAAATACATGCGATTGTCCGGTTCCGCCGGTAACAATTTAAAATTACTTATTCTATGAAACGACACTGGCAGGTAAACAAAAGCCTTTCCAACTTCTGCCCCTGCTATAATAGCATAGCATCTCACTTTAACTCCCTGTCTCCAACTTTTCCTCCACTGATCTGCCTTATAATTCAAGTTTTTCACGGAATTACCAAACAGTATTCTCTGCTTACATTAAAAAAAAACACAACTGGTCTCAAAACTGGTCCTTGATTCAGACCTTTACCATTACTTTAAATTGTTTTCAAAAGTTTCCTGTCAACAAATCTCTAAAATATAATGTCTACCTATTTATAACATAATTATAAAAAAAAGTTTTAGCCAGTTACATTTTTTCAACTACCAAATTTAACACCTTGTATTTCGGAAACAAGAAACATGTTTAGTTCAATGATCATATTTTGAGTCAGAATACCTCCAGTTGTTCCATGTGATGCTGCCTTAAGTGCTCACTCATCCTAGTACTGATCACTGTCGGCAGATATCGCAATACCGGAGTGAACCTGCTAAGTCAAGTTATTGACGGTCTCCAAATTTTTGAATCAAAATAATAGGGATAAAATTATTCTACTACACTTCATAGTTTGATCCATCATAGTTTCCACTTAAGTAACAGATATATGGATAATTTTAATATCGAAAGAACAAGTTGGACACATTAATTTAAAAATTGGCTATAGTACATGTTAATTACTTTTCACCCAGCCCCTCTTAGACTTTAAAATTATTTACAGTTCTATATCCAATCCGTATGGTTCTTCATACACAACTTGAAATATTCTGAATATACCTCTTCATATTGATGTCCTCTATCCATAATATGTCAAACTTAAAGTTTTGAGGTTTAACAAAGTGTCTTCAATCATACTATTTTAATGTTTTTTTTTTTATTCTGTTTAGACATTTTTATGATACCAATATGTTTTTAATTAACATTTTTTCAGCCCAGAGGCAATAAAGCAACTAAAAGAAAATACGACAAATTGTATGTTGAATTAGAGGAATATCTGCCACCAGAACTAGTTGTTAAGCAAGATTTTCCTGCTTGTTTGTGGATTCAGGCATCTTTTTTGCCAACCATATTAACCAGAATTTCCTTTATGTTACAACTAGAAGAATTTCGATGCAGAATAGCTAGAGAAAAGAAAGGTAAACTATCAAATTTCTAAATATAATTCTATTAGGGCTCGACCAAAATTTCAAACTTGTAATTTGAGAATATTAATACTGATTTTAAAGATCGACCACGTCCGTTCGATTTTAAATTAGAACATGTGCATCTGCAACATCTTTTAGTAAAATATTGTAATCATCACTATTACTGACCGTTTTTGTAAAAAAATACATGATGACAATAACTCATATACAGGTCTATTCTGTAACAATTCCTTTATATTTAACGGCCTTTAAAAATATTTGGCGACCTTTAAAAATATGTTCGTTTTCGTTAATTTACTTCTGTCATTATTTAAAAAGATTTCTTTAAGATAGTCCTCTAATGTATTTTAAAGATCCGTTTAAATAATGACAGAAGTAAAGAAGAAAATATTTTTAAAGGCCGTTAAATATAAAGGAATTGTTACAGAATAGACCCCATAATATCTCAATTGAAGGATCTAGTCTATTAAGGAGGTTGTGACAGGCTTCTGGTTCACCTACAGTGAATTAGCGAGTCTGTGTGGCGCTATGAAGGTGATTCCCGAATAGGGGTTGCTCAGGCGCCAGTTTTGGTATCGCAGTTTGCTCTGCGACCCTGTGGTACACCAGAGTGTACTCAAGGTGAACTCAGTGGAGGTAAATAATTCCAGGCGGTCACTGCTAGGTAGCCACTATACTAGAATAAATAAAAATAAAACACTTTTCTCCTTTACACCTCGTACCCTACGGTACCCTGAAAGAGAACGGTTAAGAACCAGTAATAAGAGAAACACGAATAGGTAATAAAATATGTATTTACAAAAAAATAATATAACGGTAATTAAATATGAACGGCTCCCTATGTGCGGAAAACTTATTAAAAATAAATTATTACCAATGAAAACTAATTAAATATTAACGGCTCCCTATATGCGGAAAATTTATTAAAAATAAATTATTACCAATGAAAACTAATTAAATATTAACGGTTTAAAGTCTCTCTCATGTAGACATCTAGTAGTCCATAGCTTCTACAAGAGAGACACCCTTTTCACGAGCTGTTATAAAGATTAGGGTCTGAAACAGCTATGATTATCGACGGGGGGAAGCAAGCGAATACCGCTATCACCCCCTGATTAACGCGAAAATGGATGAAGGGTGCGAGTGCCCCCGGATTTAAATCCAATTTACTTTATTACCCTGTCAGGTACTAAGGAAATTAAAAGTTCGTATTACCTTTTACTAGTACGGGAAAATATTTACGGTTCGCTAGCACAGGAGGCCAAGCGGTCCGGGAATTATGAAACTCCCTATATACGGAAAATAAATTAATACACTCGAAAGCAATTTAAATATGACGGTAATCAAATGCAAACAAATAAATGAAATCAAAATTTTCGGAACGTCCCTGTATCTTAGACCAGACGGATCGACGCTCTGGCAATTATTGAACGAGAATGATAATTTTCAGAGCGGTGTTTGGGACAAAAATGCGATGGTTAACGTAAAAATTATTTAGAGATTTGCCCGGAGTCGATCGAGAGCGTGTTTGAATTTAATTTTACAGAAAACGTCGGGCTTCGTTCAATAATTAATTGTTGACGGGAAACGGAATGATTCAAATATAATTGAATAAATAAATAAAAAAAAGAGAAACTTACATGAAAAATACTGGGTGCTTCTTATAAAAAAAATTGCTAACGGTTTCCCCACTAAGGGATGAAATGAAAAATGCTGGGCATGAATCAAAATTATTTCACTTGTCGGACGGGTGTCCCAAACTAATTGTAAATAAAAAAATAATATGCGGTTTCCTACCTTTAGAAAAATAAACGAGGTTGTTCAATATTCTTTCGATATTACGGGCACTCGCGGAGTATTTCACTAGGCACTAAAGGAGAGAATAGTTTTCGGCTGTCGGCAATCAAGAGCGTGTAATTCCCAGATGTCATTGAATTTATGCTTTTCGGCAAACCCGAGTGGGGGGAAACCACTACTACAGCCGACCGTTTACAATTTAAAAATAAAAAAATGTCCTTCCCGCACCTTGACAAATAAAGGTAGATAATTGGTACGAAATCGACTCTACAAAATGCCCATTCGGATTTCGGTAAATATAGGAATATTTCAATCTATGAGGGCACTCGCAATTGTTGAAAAACGGTAATTCCTGCGAAACAGAATCTTCCACATGTCCTCAGGCGGGAATTAATTGAAATATACAATTTTAAATTAATTGAGAGCAAATTTAGTGACTTCGTCACAAGGTAAGTGACAGAATCAGACAGTAGAAAAAATTGACTTCAAAGTTTTATGTGTAGACAAAAGTTGTGAAAACTACCTAGACTTTTTGTTAAAATTTAGAGTTTTACACCCTTCGGACCTCGCGTGATACCCCCTTATCCGTCTATAATCTGGCGGCAATGCAGCCTGTGGCTTATTTTACCACCATTTGAAGATCCTACAGTCCTACTACTTTCCCATTCATCGTTATTCATTTCACATCGTCGATGGTTAACCGATAGTCAGATGAGTCCCATGGTGGAACTTCCCAGATAATTATACAGTGTGTTCAACAATATCCATATCCCACGTGACTAAATTGATAATGATTAATGGTTCAGCCACTAGAACGTTATTAGTCTGTTTATGTAAATAATTGAGTTTTAAGGGGATTACTTCGCCTAAAAGTGATTGTGTAAATAATTCGTGATGATACATGCGTTTTTATCGAGTTATACATTCCCATGAGTTAATAAGCCTATTCTACTAGCGTGTGACGTAAATATAATAATGAAACGATCAGAGTTTATTTTGAATTAGTGCCAACTATGAACAAAAACTTTTGCTTTTGTTACACAGAGTGAAAGACAATTTGGGAAATTAGTAAGTTACAGGTTGGTATATCTACAAAATTTAGCATATGGGGTGACGATTCATGTTTTTGTTTTTATTTGCATTGTAGACAGATTGACTGGTTTTCCGGTTATATTGGTTACTGCTTTTTTGTGTTAAAAAAAACTCTCGCATGTGGGATATCTTTGAACTGTGATTGAACACGTGAATCAAAAAATGAAATAATATGCAGGATGTGTCAAAAAACCAAAGTGACTAATATTAGACAACAATGCAATTTAAAAAAAAAATCGAAATAACCCAAATTTTGTGCATTTCTGAGAACACTGTTTCGAGAAAATTAGACATTTTCCTACTATTCCATGTTACATATTTTTCAGATATGATATATTACGTATGTCTTAGAACACTTAAAAAACAATAATTTCTATTTAGGTTTAGGAAAAGAAGTGGTAATAGTGAAAAAACCTCTCGAGTTAGACGATTACGTCTTAGACTATGAACCATATTTAGAAGAAGAAGAAGCCGATATTGAAATAACAATACCTAGCAATTCCATTGTACAAGCTTTGCCTCACCCCTCTATGACCATTAACCAGGACTTTAAAGATAAACTTTTAGAAACTCAGTATCCTTGGAAGAACATTGAAGAACCGAAAGATGTTGAAAGGAATTTAGACGTTACTATAATGGATATTGAACATTATGAAAAATTTATTTGTAAGTAATATTTTATATGCAGTGGGTTCCATTAATAATTTAACCTAGAACAACTGAAGATTATTTGATTCAAAATGAAACGATGAACCGAAAAATACTTAGATAAAAAATGTATTTCGTTTTCAAAATACTAATTATTAATGGCTATCATTTTTTAATTACTCAGTATAATTTTACTACGAACGTTGTTGATGTCATAATATACATCTAACAGCAAACAAATCAGTTAATTAAACTCCCTGAGTGATTTGGGTGTATGTGTATTTGTTACACGCTAAAATATAATTTGTATTATTTAAGACATTTGGACAAAATAAAATATACCCAAATATCGACAAACTTTCCTTGTTTTGAAAATTAGTTGTTTTAGGTTATGGAGTTTCTGATGCGTCTAGAGAACTAAGAAATACAGTTGACCCAAATAAAACCAAACATCTGGCATTGACTTACCACAAAAATTTTGTTCCTGTCAAAATAAATATGTTAGACACACCCTTCGGAACGGACGGGCCAGAGCTTTGTGAACTTTACAGGTAAAATATTAGTAGTATAAATAGGGTGTACAAACGATAGCCCAGAAATTCAAAAATAAAAAAATATTTCAATTTTAAATTTACCTTTTAGATAATGCATTACTTGCAAGTATACTATTTCCAGGAGGTTGTATTTCTGGTTATGAATTTTATACGAGAATTCATTTCATTGCCAATAAAAGTAGATGTTTTTTAAAATTTGAAAAACTTTTTTATTTTTGAGTTTATGGGGATCAAGTTATCTTTGTAGGCACTGTATAATAACAGAGTAACATTTATTTCAATAATCATTATTAGTATTTCCTAAACCGAAATATAAAAAATACTCTTTAACAAAATGCATTAATTTTTGTCTAGGCTTGTAAAATGTATGTACATACTGAGTGTCCCCTGATGGACTGAAAAAGAGGAGGTAAAACTTTTTGTTTCACCTTTTCGAAAAAATGTCATTCTTCACAAGAGTATTTGCTTGTTTCAAAACTAATAAAAGTCCAAACAGAAGTTGAATATCTCTTTACGTTAGTGAAATAATGGAAAAAATTTAAAAAAACATTTAATTTATCTTCTTAAGCTTTATTTTTGTCACCAGGAACACTTCCCACGTGCTGCTTACTTCATGTTCTGTTTGGCTTGGATCTTCAAAATATTATACTTATAATATGTCTTGCTACAAAGATCTACTTTGGCAATGTTATTATTTTTCAAATATATTTTTACTTTTTACCAAAAATCTGCCTCAGGAAACCACTTCGTGCTATCACATTCAACTACGTCTATTTCTGAATACTATTGTTTCAGATTGAAAATTGTTATTTACACAATTTTTAATAATAAAAATGCGACATATTCTTACATTTGCAGGTGTATACGGTTCTGTTTTGTTGTCATCTGGCCACCCTGTATGTGTATTATAAATAACATCTTTCTTTCTTTACATGTTTGTCTATGTTTGTTAAATTTGGATTTTCGTTATTATTCTTTATGTTTATTTTTATTATATACCTATTTAAGCTGTCCTGTATTTGGGTGTACACCTGTTTGGACAATAAATGATTTTCTTTTTTAATAGGAACTTATTGCAATCCCATTTTTTCACAAAACTAATTTTCTAGGGCTCTAACAGCGGCCAAAGCAAACGAAATAGTAAACCTGGAACGACTAGAAACTCTTGGAGATTCCTTTTTAAAGCTCCTTACTTCTGTCTACATATATCTACGGTTTCCTGAGTATGATGAAGGTCGTGCAACTTCTCTTAAAGGCAGAATGGTCAGTAATCGGAATCTTTTCTATCTAGCCTTAAAAAAAAATATTGACGGTGTTATTAAATACAACGAGCTAAATAAAGACGATTTTTTACCACCCGCGCTAGCGATTCCAAATGAAATGTTACAACGAATTGAAAATAAAGAAGTATCCATTGACGCTATATTTCGATTGAGTATACCTTTTGAAGAACAAGTTTCTGGCGAATTAAGTAAAAAAACCATAGAAGGTATTTTAAATCAAGAATGTCCGTTGACTGATTCTGAAGATTACCAAATAATAGCTCCGTTTTCAAAATATCAATATTATAGCGATAAACATACTGCAGATGCAGTTGAAGGTCTTACAGGGATTTATTATCAAACTCTTGGTTTCGAAGGTAAGATTTTTAAATTTTTAATCTGAAAGAAGAATATTACAAATACTTTCTTCGAAAATAATACAAATCTTGACACGATAAGCATATTATTATTGTTGATTTATATTCACTTCAATTTTTTATTTCATAGTCAAAATATAATATCTTGAATTTCTGTTGAAATTGTATTAATTTGTTATCTTTTTGTAGTTTTATTTCATGATAATTTCATAGATTTTTCATTTTATTTCATAATAATTATATTTATTCATTATTATACACCTAAAGTGCCATAATCTATCCATAAAAAAAAAATAATTGTAAATTTATTCCTTTTTATGTAGAAACATAATAGCTATCTTACATTTTGGGTAAAACTTTTTTTTTTTTTATTTTTGAAAAAAAAAAAAATGTGTGCACTGAGGCCCACCATCATTAAGTACCCTCATGTCCTTTTTTAAGAAACACTCCTGCAAAATAATTTTGTATAAATAAACTAATAAATATTTGATTTATTTTTTCCCCGAAGAGTTAAAATTTTTTCCTATAAATATGAACTGCAAACCGAAATCAACTGTAATAAAATATTGCTTGTTAATACTTTTTTTTACTGTGTATAGAAGTCATTAAAATAAACAATATTTTCAATAACTTTTCAAAAGAGACATCTTTAACGTTGGATGTTGTTTACATTTTGATTAACTTACACCTGATCTGCAATCACTTGCGTACTTGTTGGATCTTCCTCGATTATATTTAAAATGTGTTATTTTAAAGGCACTTTATTTTCAATTTACCATATTTTACCATAACATATTGTATGTCGCACAAATGCTGACCGATGTAGATTTTAGTAGTATTTTACTGACGCTAGGTGTTAAAACAAAAAAAATGATTTGTGATTTTGATTTTTAATTATGAATTATTCTTTGTAGTCTTAATTCACCTTTTAGTGCCTTTAGAATTAGAAGTATATAATAACAATTTATTAATAATTAATTTAAAAAATGTTAACTTTGTAATTTTACGTCCATAAAGTAACGAAATTCAATTTTATCCAAACGAATTGTTTTCAGAAAAATTCTGAAATGGCTAAATTTTGTTAGTTTAATTTACTATACATCCCAAATATTTTTAATTCTTTACATTCCACCTGAATATCTATTTCCAGTATGTTTGGATCCCAAACACATAAATTAATTTAAATTTTGTAGTCGGGCCTTTTTTGATTTCAACAGCTAATTTTAAAAATAATATGCTCTGTTTTACAAATGTCTTTAAAAATTATTTAGCATAATAAAATATCAAAATAAAGGAGACTAAAAATGTAAATATGTATTTAAAAAACTCCATTAATATCTCTGTATCTGTAACGTGTGGAGGGTGGGTTTCCCCACTGCACTTAGGCCTCACTAGACCCATTGTGCATCATCCTAATTTGATAGGCCACTCTTAGCTCGTCAGCCGGCCTATAGATTTGATGTAGTTTGCAATCATGCCAAATTGTGTCAAAACTCGCCGAATAAATGAGCGTCGTAGGGTCTGATTACAATTAGAAGAACACAGCTACGTCATCATTTGACAAAGTAATTAATTGGTTATCGCCGCCTCCTGGGGGCTTAGTGGAGTGTTAATATTACAGGAATATAGTAAATATTTTATACCTAACAACTTATTTGTTATTTATTGATAGTTATAGATAATAGGTATTCGAAGTAATGGTTATGACGTAGCGGTGTTCTTCTAATTGTTATCGAACCCTACACTCGTAGAGGATATGCTCGAGGTCTCATATTCTTGTTCACTACCGATCTTAGTCCAATGGAAAGGCCAGGTCCAAAAAGTATTTGGTTCGCTGCCTTTTTGGCTAATGAATTAGCAAGACGGGTTACCTTTCGATGTGACCACTTTTTGATGGATACTTCTGCCAAAGATTTGTGGTCTGTCCAGGGTGAGTTGTGCTTATCTGCTATCTATATAGATAAGCATGTTTCTTCCAGTGATACTGTTACTGCTTTCTTTTGCTGCTATGAGAATCCCCCGTGAACTGCACTGACACTATTTTTCACAACCCATGTTATGTTTAGGTTTAAGGATCTGGAGTATATTCTACATCCTTAGCCTCGTTTTGTTTTAAAACAGTTCTCTATAACTTTATATGGCTTATGGAAGATATATCTCGGTGAAATGGGCATCCAGCATTACCATACCCTACATCATGTTCTATTCTAGCCATGCGGAGTCGTTTCTTTGTCATCAGAGCAACCTCCTAGATGTAAATATCAAGGGAAGTGAGACTAATAATGACTTTTATGGCTCTGGTTGGTGTGCCCCATGGTTCAGCGACATTGTTCATAAGCAATATGTTTTCTAGGTGTTCATGTTAACTTGCTGTCAAAGGTGAGATACTTCACCAGTTCCAAGGTTTAGTTTTGTGTTTAGGAGATCTGGAGGATTTAGTTCCAGTTTTATCCTTTTTCTTGTGAAAAGAACCATTTGGGTCTTCTTGGGATTAATAGACAGTGAATGGTCCTTGCACCACGGTTCTATAATTTTGAGAGCTACTTGCAATCTTTCACAGAGTAGGTTCTCCAAATTCTCCATTTGCTTACGCTATTTTCTAGAGACTGTCATTATTGCGGCGGCCGTTGAGGGTGTCAAGGCTCATGTTCCACAGTAAAGTTAGTACCCCTTCCTTGTGGTCATCCCCTTGCAACCAAGCCACTTAATAGTCACATCTTCTACACTTAAGTTTACTGCTCGCTTTGAGAGCATGTAACCATCTATATTACATTCCAGTTGGTTAGTGAGTGTATCATCTATGCTAACACCCAAGGCGGACTCTTTGATGTCCAGGAATCTCTCGTCATTGATAAAAAATGTTGTAAATTAAAAATCAATTTGTTTCAGAATTTTGTCCGAAAATAATTCTATGTATTACTTTATGGTTTCTATAGATATAGCCCAAAATAGTTTTCGTTTAAATATAAAAATTAATAGACATCCTAAGTAGTTTTTAAGCTATTGCATAGCTTTTATCGCGGGCTTTGAGCGCGGCGACCGAATCAAGAAATTCCGTAACGAAAATAAACCTAACACCCCCCACTCCGACCGGCACAGCGGTGTGGCGTTGAAAGCCGTGGAAGGTTTTATCCGACCCTATTCGTATTAGTATGAAGCAAAGTTAAATATACGTCTGTGGACTGGAACGTTTATGCAATACAAGAACTAGAAGAGCTTTCTCTGGCTTCTAATAAATTGGTATCACAAATGTTCCCGGCTGGCGTAAATATTAGATATTAATTTTTTTTTGCAAGATTTATAAAATATTAATTTTTATTTTATCAGTGTTAACTATTTCATTATTAAGCTATTGCATAGATTTTATCGCGGGCTTTGAGCGCGGCGACCGAATCAAGAAATTCCGTAACGAAAATAAACTAACACCCTCGAAAAATCGAAAAGTTGAAATATCGAAAAAAAATCCGTAACGCACAGCGGTGCGGCGTTCAAAGCCGTGCATCGTCTAACGTCGTTTCAGTTCGGCAGACTTCGGCACGGTGTTTGTGTGCGTGCGACTAGACATATGCATGTAGATTAGCTGCTAACTGCTCATAACTGATTCTATCTCTTTTAGACACAATTTCGGAAAAATTGAATTTGAAAATGAATAATGATCCACAAGAATCCACAACAAAATATGGGACCACCATTGACGCGGTATTTTCCAGATATTTAGAGGATATCAAGTCTCAAACTTATGTTTCTTATTTCAGTTACCATAAACCTATAGTTTCAATGATAAAAATTCCTTAATAACCTACATGTATTGTAAGATAATAAAAATATTTTAAACAATATTAACTTCTCATTTATTCAACAAAAGAAAAAAAAATTCTTATCGGTCACCACGCTCAAAAAGTGTAACTTGAATTAATATAAAAAAAAATACTGCATAAATAAAATAAATAATTATAATTGCATAAGTTGATAAAAAATGCTATGCAATAACTTTACCGCGGCAGTCCCCGTGTGCCACACGTATTTTTTTAACAAAGAAAATCACGTTTTTATTAAATATTCCCGGCATTATTCCAAACAAAAAAATGGTATTTGTATTTAAAAAAGCGTCTACTTACAAAATAAGCAACAATGTTAATACAATACAATAATACAAAAATTATTTAAATGTTTATTTTAGGTGGTATTAAGTTTCTTGAATGGTTGGGTTTAATCCCGGAATCTGAACACTTAGAACGTCTATTAAGTCAACCTTCACCAGATCCGATATTAACCAGAGATGATTTTGAAAGCAAAATTCGTAGACATTTACCTTTACAAGGAGAAATCGAAAAAATAATTGGTTACAAATTCAAGAACAAAGCCTTTCTTCTGCAGGCATTAACGCATTCTTCTTACACACCAAATCGTACTACACTCTCTTATGAAAAGCTGGAATTCATAGGCGATGCTGTTCTCGATTTCCTAATCACCTGCCACATTTACGAATCATGCGGTAATCTCGATCCTGGCAAATTGACTGATTTAAGATCGGCCTTAGTAAATAACATTACCTTCGCTAGCCTCGTTGTGAAACTAGGCCTACACAAATACATTTTAATGGTTAATTCCAAATTACAAAAGCTTATCGATAAATTTGTCAAGTTTATGGAACAAAAGAATTATGTAATTGATGATGAGGTAATGATTTTGGTGCAAGAAGATGAAATTCTGCTAGCAGAGTCCGTAGATGTCCCTAAGGTAAATAAACCTGTATTAAAAGCTAATGCACTTGAAATTAATAATTGCCACATTAAAATATTACATATATTATTCATCAAATTTTATTTTTTTAAATGTATATGTAGTCCCAAAAAATAATTATAGTACAGTAGAACTCTGATTATTTGAAGTAAAGGGAAGATTTTTCTGGGATAACAAAAAACTCGGATGATCCAGATTTATTTTACATATACATATCTTGTAGTGTTAAAACGTCTAGTTATAACGTCATCTTATACTGTTACTAATAGTTGTTAGACAAGGGTGGTAATTAGAGTGACTTACCCTATCAGTGATATAATGGGGCCCCAGGATTATAGATCTGACGTCAGGGGTCGAAGAAACACAGGACAGACAATTAGATATTTGACATATTATTTTCTTCAATACGAATTAAATGTAAAAACTTGTTTTAAGAATTTCAGTAACTATATTTTACTGAATCTATAATTAAAATTAAACGTTATCAGTAACTATTTGAATCAGTTACAATAATTAACTAAAAATCATCAACCAAATGTTCAGAATAAATCATATCTACTGCAGTATTTAATGAATGAAATCTTTTTTATCTTAACTCTATTTGACCATGAAAAACCCAATTAATTCTCTTTTGCTAAATCGAGCAAACAAAAAAGAAGTTGAACAAGCAAATAAATTACAAATGGCTACTTCATTTCCAAATAATATGCAAAGCAATAGAACAAAAAATATATAATTGCCCTGTCGATAAGAAAGGAGAAATTGGTGTGGTGGTAGCCTGCAGTAACTCCTATGATAGATAATTTCGTTGGAAGACATCAGTTGGAAGGTCATTGCAAGAGCTTTCACCATCTATCAGTTTAGATAATAAATAATTAAATGAGGATTTTATTTCAAAGGAAACTGTAAAGTTGTCCTTTCGGCAATCTGTCTAAGGTTACGGTTCAACATAAATTTCTTCTTTTTTCCTTTTCTACTTATGTTGTATGTGCTCAGTTTTTCACTATCCACCCAGTGCCAGTATCTCGTTTTTAAAAGAGTTTATTTTACAAAAATCAGCCATAGAGCCCTAACACGCACTTCTTGGCAAGCCAGCTAGACCTCGGATAGTGCTAGTGAAAAACAGACCATACACCTAAGCAAACAAGGAAAAAGAATAAAATTAAGCTGCCCCGTAACAGTCTTCATACCCGTAACCTTAGACAGATTGCCGAATTGATAATTTACAGTTTCCCTTAAAATAAAATCCTGTTTCTATTACTGACTTGCTATGTAAACAGATAGCTGGCGCAAAGCTCTTGCAATTACCTTGCAACGGCAATATGTATTGCGATGAAATCATCTATTGCTAACTCAATAACTAAAATACCAACAATTTAAAGCCAGCTAAAAATAAGGCGGTACCTATTCGAACATCTACGTTATAAAAAAAAAAAAAATGAGTTGTTAGATCAATTTCATTTAAAATTAACTCATCAAAGTAGAATAACAGTAAGCACTTGTTACAAGTTAATAAATAACATTTTTCAAATGATTGAATAAGAATCAAATAATATATTTGTCAACAGAAAATAAGTTTACGTCTCACCTATGACCGTACTTTGGACCGTACATACACCATTCTTATATTCCAGATCCGCAACGGCGTAACTCTAACTTAATCTGGCGTGGATCATAGTCGTTCTCCTTCTTAAATTGCTGTCGTGTAACATAGACAAATAGTTTAATCTTTCCGCAAGTGGATTGCTGGTGTCGAACAGATGTACAGAGCACTAAAAAGATGCTTACACATTTCTGCTTCATGCTGTTAAGACCCGGTTATATTGAAGTTTTTATTTAATTTTTAAAAATATTTTCTTAACGTGAATGTCACGTTACAGTACACACGGGGAATTACCGTCATACGAGTGGGGTTGACCAGGGGTTCCCCGATGATTTTAAGTGAACATTCTATTTGCTGGGTTAATACGGAGCTGTGACTCCCGTACCGCGGATAATCACAATCTATAGCCAGGTCGGTTAATTTGGATCTCGGTTATCTGCTACTCGAATAATCAGTGTTTTACTGTATTTAATATAATAGCCCGTTCGAACATTTAGCTCGTCGACTTTATTATGCAACTGTCACAAAAAATCAAATTTTACGAATTTATTAACGTCTCTTCAGTATAACTATTTTAGCCGCATTTACTTTACGGGCGCTTTAAAATATAATTTTTTATAGCCACTTTTTATGAACACAAGTTTATCATACCCTTCATTAGTAATTCTGTACAAATCCATATGATCTTTTTTGGCCTAACCAGAAGTAGCTTGGCTATGTCTCGACTGCAAATTTCTGATTGTCAAAAAATATCAACATTACTGCTTTTGTAGCACAAATAACCATTGTGATATAAATAATTAAAAATGTGTATTTTTCGAAACAGCCTCATTTTGTTTTATTAATTTTGTATGACCCAAATGATTTCTTTTACGTTTACACTAATGACTTTAATGTTTAATAAATTACAAAAACTAACTACTAACTGCATAACTTGAACTTCCAGGCAAGCTTAACACATTGATGCATAGTTAAATTTTGTGATAGTTTTTAGATAATTCTTCGACCAATTTTTACATTTTGAACAAGTCATTTTTAATACTAAAGTTAGCTTGTAAATCTGATATATTTTGTGAATAAATACTACCATGTCTGCCAAAGCTATTTATTCACCTCTTATCAGCGAGATTATTAATATTAAGCCACAATTTTATCCCTATTGTTTATAATTAATTTATTTAAAATAAGTTATTTATTTCAAATATGCAACTTACAAATAATATAGTTTACTTCACTCACTCAAAATCATTTTTTATGAATGAATAGAGCAATTTTTTGTTTACTATGGGCATACATTTTAATTTTATCTTTGAAGAATTGTCCACTCGACTTTACCAGGATACAAATTTTGTGGGAACACTGTAAAGTTATTGCTTAGATATAATTTTTTTTGCAGGTTCTTGGGGACATTTTTGAGGCAATTGCTGGAGCAGTGTATTTAGACAGTAATAAAGACTTGAAGAAAGTATGGGAAGTATTTTATAAAATTATGTGGAAAGAAATTGATTTGTTTTCCACAAATGTTCCTATGAATGTAGTCCGAAAAATATTCGAATGGCCTGGTGCTCAACCTAAATTTGGGTAAATACATTTTAAATTGTTTGAAAATAATTCTTTTAATGTGTTTTTCATCAAATATAAACAACAGCTGGAGTATCATTAATTGATGGAAAGAAACTATAGGTAGTGTTGCCTTCTTTTTGATTTCTTCAATCTAAATTATACTTAAGAGGTTATTTAGCTCAAATTACTGGTACTGTGTTGATTCATAAATTGATCAGGACAAATAAAGTCAGAGTAGCTTTACCTGTTCGCGGGCCAAAGTCTACTTTACCATAAAATGAAAGATACTATAATACGATAACGACAAAAATGTTGCCACCAGTTTTTGAGTAACTTGGAAAACTTGTCTGATTTTATATGCCCTGTTTAATTGAGTCAGTCTCTGGTACTTAAAGTTATCTGTTATGAGTTCTGGCAAATAAATAAAGTGAAAAAATTTAATACATTTAATAAAAAAAGTAAAAAGAATGCATTTATACAATAAATTAATAATTAAATTTGAAAGATGGATGAAAATTGACTGTTTAAAAAAAAATAAATGAAGTTGAATGTAGATATTTAATTGTCTCGGTCATGTGGCATTCTATAGCGGTACTTCCCTGTCGTATGTCGAGACTTGGAGATATGTCCAGACTTGGTTCTACATGGAGCTATTTTGACATTACTTAGAAACTTGGAGCTTGTTTGGATAAGCTACATAACCTGGAGCTTGGAAGCTACGTACCTCGGAGCTTAGAGCTTGGAACTCGGAACTTGAAGAAATTGGAGAAACTAGGTAACTCGGAGCCTCTTGAAGAAACTACGTAACTCGGACTTAGTGGAGAAACTACGTAACTCAGACTTGGAGCCACTACAGGTTTAGAAATAAAACCCAGCTAGCACAAAAACATCCCATCTACGTTAATAAGCTTCAATTTTAGGCTCTTTAAGCTCGCATGCGATGTACTTTTAATGTAACCCTAATATCCCTGCAACCGCCGAATGTCCGCAACGGCAAAACTTTTATAGCACATCTCACAGAGGTTACAAAAGTGAAGTTCGGTAAACATCACACTAACACTTTTACGGTACTTACCCTGAAAGTTGCTCTGAAACTTTCTATAGATGTTATAATGTGAATTAGTTCTACAGTGTGTCCACGGATGGACTTAAATATACTTGTGAAAATATTTATTTTAAATAAAAAAAGTAATTCTTCATAATTTCTTTTACTTGTTAAATAAATTCGATTCACATTGAGAAATTATGAAAAATACCTTTTTTTTAATTTATAATAAATATTTTTACAAGTATAATCAAGTCCATCCGTGGACACACTATATTGTTTTTTGTGTAATGTAATACAAAGAGGCTGAAATTGAGGTTATAGTAAAATCTCAATCGAGACATGGAAATTTCAAATAAAACAAAATATAAATTTATTATTAAAATGTTCTTGAAATCAAGTAGAAATATCACTAAAGTAGAGATAGGTATATCACAAACGCAGTTACGCAAGTGCGATAATAGAAGCCCCTATAAAGCACTGAACGATTGGACAAAGTTAGCTTAATAGTATAATAAGGTATCAATATTGCAAAGGTTCACTAGAAGTTTAAACAGTGAACGATTGTACAGAAGTATATTTATATAAGGTACGTTTCAAGATGGCAATTGTATGATGTTAAAACTAGATCGGTGAATAATAATAGATGATTGCAACAATGACTAGGTATATATTATACGAGACAGCTGAATTCCCCAATTTCTTACCTGTAGATGCAGAAATATATCATCTTTTTTAAATCAAGCCTTTTAACTTAGTTTTTGTATAGATATGTATATATTTTTATTTTGTTAGTTTATTATTTATGCAAAGGTAAACAAAAATTATTTTATTGTAATTACATGTGGCTTGGAAATATTTACATTTATGCTATAATGTAACAAATATATCGTCATATTGGTAATGAAAAGAGCTAAGCCACACACTTATTAATTGGAGAAAATGGTTAAATAAGTTTGTAACTCTTAGGTTAAAACAACTTTTGATTTAAATCTTAAGTTTGTATTCACTAAATATGATAACATTTGATACAAACGAAAACATGTCCTTCATTTTAAGACTGATTTAAAAACAAAAAAAAGAAAGGTATCTTGCTTAAAACCACTTTACCACTGAAAAAGATATATGTATTTTCACCTAACTTCTTTCAGTTTGTGGTATTTTAAGGTTATAATTATATAATCGCTTATCTCTCTTCACAACTGTATTTTTCAGAATTGTTTTATTTATGTGATATAATTAACTCATTTTGCTTTAAAATGTGGCTTAGCTCTTTTCACCACCAATACGAAGATATGACAATTTATTAGAAGAAGATAAATTATATTTTTATGTAAAAAGATTTTACTTTTCTACAACATATTAAATAAAAAAGATTGACCTACTTGTTTAACTATTATTAAAGGAAATGATATAGAAATTAAAAAATATGCTCAAGTTTAAATCATTGCACTTTTAGATAATTTTGTCTTACTTTGTTGTTTTAAATAAAACAACCAAAGTTAGTGTAATGAAATTTTTTTGAATTTTATAAATTTTATGCTTGATTATGGATTTCCAAGTTAGGTATGCATATTTTATAAAAAACAACTCATGTTTTTTAGCAAGATATTCTGATGTATGCTCGAGGGCATCTTCTGTGATTTCTCTCAACTTTTCTTCTAGGTTTGTACTTAAACTGATGATTAGAGTTCTAGGCACAACAAGCCTGTTGATGATAATGATGTGCCATGTACCTAGCTGTAAATTCACTTTTTATAAAATTTCAGGCGGTATATATTCTTCTTTAGACAAGTCTGTAGTATTTACTTTTGCTTCTAAAATTCCTAGAATGTCAGGTACAAAGGAAACCTAAAATATAATATTTTTAAAATGTATTTTTAGTTTGATTAAGTATATTATACCTCTTTTATAAGTAAAATGTAACTGGACATTCGGTTAATTGTTTATCTTCTCGTTTAAAACGTTTATATCTACACCATTCTTTGTTTTTATAGTAGTTAAACCATTTTTTATTCACGTTTGTACTTTAAAAAAATATAGGACTATTTATTATTCCAAACATCTGTCAAATGTTAAATTTCGTTGATTGTTAAGCGTAGAAGTGACTTTTATTTGCGCTTTAAATTATAAAAAAGATAATTGACTTCCGATTTGATCGGAAATAAGAATTACTGAAATTTTAAGAAAGTCGTCCTCTATAGTTGATCTAATATTCTTATTAAACTACTTTCTAACAAAATTTCAATTGCAGCATGATTCTACCCTTCTATGATCATTCCATTTTAATTACGTACCAAAAAATCGGTAAAGTATATTACCCAGAACTTCACTCGATAAAGAAATTGTAAAAATAGAGAACTCCTAAGCACTTAGATTTTAACAATTTAAAATTAAAACCACCAAACAAAAAAACCATTTTTTACCTTCCTCTCTCATCGATCTTCCTCTTGATCCCATCCGAACCCTCAGTTCGCGTCCGCTTGTTGTTCTTCGTTACGTTCGCCGTTATTGAACAATAATGATTGACTGCTTTTAAAATTAATCCGGTTGCACAAACCAAAAGGACGCTTTTTATTATTTTAATTCAGTGGGGACGTTTTTTGATCAAATACGATTCCTTTCAACGCCATTTTGAATTTTTAAAAACTTATTTAGGATCTGTTATCTTTGACTTTCAGATACCAATTTTAATCGAAATATGCAGACTTAAAAAAAATTACTTTTTAAACTGCTTACCCTATATATAACTGATTTTGAGCCACAAAGGAACCTTATCTGCATACAAAATTTGAAGTTTTTATCTAAAACCGTTTTTGAGCTATGGCGCCGACAGACGGACGACAACAGACAGACTGAAGGAATGGAGAAACTTGTTTTTCGTAATCTAGGGACCCTGAAACGTGAAGATCTGAAATAATCTCGAAGGGTGACTTTTTCATGATTACAATACTTCCCTTTTGTCGAGGGAAGTAAAAAAGTGCTAAAAACTACCTTCAGTAAAACTAAATTAAAAGTTAAATATTTTGTCCTTTATTAAAAACGCCAAAAAGAGCGGAGAAGAGCGCTGAATACAAATTTTCCAAAATTCGTAGAAATTCGGGTGACTGCAGAAAACCTGATTTTCCATTTGGTGTGTTTAGAGGTTCAAATTGGTAACATTCGCAATGTTACATCTTTAGTCTCTTAAACCAAACCTTTCTACTTTATTTATTTCTTATCTTTGATATGATTAAATAGATGTTTTTTGTTCTACTAGAATTTAAAAAGTAAAAAGTCTAATTAGATTTTATTTGTAATTTATTTACAGTTCTATTTGATAACAATACATTTGTAAATAAACTAAACCAATCACAAAATAGACAAAATTTACAGACACTTTTCCTATAATAAAATAGTACGATTAAAGAAACAAGAACTCTCATCTAAATTATAGAAGTACTTTACTTGCACCTTCTGTAGTAAATCTAGAAAATACTTATATATGTCAGAAATAATTATTATTTTTATTTTGAAATAATTTTCTACATCAATTATAATTTTTATTTTTCAGAAAACCCTGCCATACTGTGAATAACAGAACCATGATAGCATTGCAGTTTATGCTGGACCGAATTCCTACAAGTGTGCACGGCTTTGGCACCAATAAAGTCACGGCTAAGAAAGCTGCAGCTAAATTAGCTTTACATATATTAGATGTTAGAAATAAATAAAATTTATTAAATACGAGGAGTATGACACTTAGATGAATTTGTACTTCTATTCACAATTAAATTCGTTTTTTAAAACAATTGGTTATAATTGAAAGTAATTTGTTATAATTGAAAGTAATTGTTTATAATTAAAAGTAATCGATAAATAATTGAAAGTAATTTTTATTGTAATCCACCTTTCTCGTTATTTGATCGTTATTTCGCATTACTCATGCGCGAAAAAACGGGATTTTTGAATATAGTAATTATTCAAACAACTTATATCTCTCTTATACTCGCCTTACAACTGTTGTGTTTGCTACGACGATTACCATCTATCATCGTTACTTTAAACAACCGTCATCGAATGTAATTGAATCTATTTGGAAGTAATCAAATGTAATACCATTTTGTAATTGAATATAATTCAATTCAATTAGATTTTACTTGTACGCCTAATTGACAAGTGTCCTACCCCTCGTTAAATATTAACATTTGTTTTCACAAAGCATATTTAAATATTTAACTGCGAATAAATCCTTAAAATAAAAACTGAATTCGTAGAAAAAGTAGAGTTGGACAAAGTCGTAATTTTTCAGTCGCACTTTGAATCGTTACTGTAAATGAGGTTGTAGTTTCTTCAAATCAATAACAAATTTAATATTCGGTAATATTTTTCTGGAAAACAAAATCGATTATAGGTTTACCAAGATTAAAATAATTAAATATCGTCCAACTTTATTAAAAATTCATTATAATGATGTTTCTCTCTTTAAGGATTTACTTGTCTGTAAATTTAAAGATGCTTTTTTAATTAGGCGGTAAAATATTCTAAGAAAACAATGATCATAATACATAGGTAATATTTATTATATATATGTTTTCTATATTTTTTATTTAATATTTATCTTTAAAATATTTTTTCTACGTTCATGCAAAAAACAAAACTTTATTGAATTATATTTAGTGAAAAAACTGGTTCTTTATTGCACTAGTGCAATAAAAATTTGAACGTAGAAAAAATATTGTATGCAACTTGTGCAAAAAGTGTTTATTGCACTCGACGTGTTGTCCAACTCGGCCTGACGGTCGCGTGCAATAAACACTTACTTTTGGCATAACTATTAATTTTCGCGATTGTCCAATAATTTGAATATATTCGTCTTCAATTATAAACAAATGTTATTCAACTGTTCTCTATTTATTGAAAATTTAAAATAAGTAAAAAGATCAAATCAAATTTTATTGTTATAATATATTCATACTTTTATATTTACTGTTAATTTATGTACTATAATTAATTTTAGTTTGTGATCAGTTTTCACATAAAATATTGTTTATTAATAAAGGAAGTTTTATTAAAAATCTCGCATGAGAAATAAGACCATAAATTTACAACAGGTTATGGGCCCAGATTACGTATAGTGATCTTATAGTCTGCAAGAAATATTTTAATCGATAAAGTGTACATGCAATATAAAATTGAACTTTTTCTGGAAAAGGAGATACGTGAGATGCTGTTATAAAAAAAAAGAAGTCATTACATAACCTTTTGTTTATCAGGACAATGGATATGATAATTAACGAAAACTCAACAACAAAATTGATTAGGTTTGTTCCGATTAACTTTTTTTTAATGGAGTAATCCAACTTCAAGTTGCCTAGCGCCGCTGTAATAAAATTGCATCATAAAATAAAATCGTATGCAACTTTATCAGTGATTTGTACTTTATAAAATTTACTTGATTGCATAATTATTTTTATTTATTCATAAAATTAAATGCTAAATAAATTAGTGGAAAGTTTGGGGATGGTTTTCAGTTTCACTAACTATTAATATTTGTTGTTGACAAACGAAACAACTAAGTAAGTGACTTATCAGACAGGAATCACTTATGTTTTAACTATAAATTTCATGTTTTTTTTTTTTACATGGACATATGTGTCATTCAGCCAATCATAATTCATCTATATGTTATGTTGGGAATGGGGTGTTGCTACACTGCGACCTAAAAGATCTATTGTGTCCCCTTCTGTCGCTAATGCACCAAGGAAATGTCTCAATGCCTATAACGACCCTTCCAATCCTATCTTCTCAAGGAAGTGTAGGATTTGGAGTGGCTTCAAGTCAGGTAAATCTCCCTCTTATATTTGATATCCTCCTAGGTATAGAGCCCTTGGATTCTGGAGTGCTACACATTCAGTTAGAATGTGAATGGAGGTTTCGTCCTCCTCCTCACAGAATCTGCACTCACTATCCTCTATCACAAAACTGTACTTCTTTAGCATTTCATCCTGGGGCATGTCACAGGTATCTTTAGTCCTGAAGCAAGTAGACTTTCGTCTGATTACTCTGTTCCTGATTATTCTATACCGTGTCCTTTTTGCCACATTTTCTATCATCAAATGTAGTGGGGCGAGGTTTAAGATCACCTTCATTGCGGCCGTAGGACAGGTTCTCATTGCACCGGTGATACAAACACAGGCTAGTCTTTGTACTTTTGAGATATTAGCTCTCGTAGTAGCTAAACTAGTTCTGTTACTCCAGGCTATAGCCCCATAAGTGATGATTGTTCTCACTATTGCAGTATACATCCATCGCAGTATGTTTGGGTTACATCCCCAACTTTTACCCGCAATGTTTCTGCATACCATTAGGGCTTTTGTGGCCTTATTTACTACTTCCTTCTCATGTGTGTTCCAGAGAAGTTTGTTGTCCAGGGTTAGGCCTAGATATTTGACTTCATTTTTCAGTCAGTCAATCTACATAGAAGTTCGTCTACGGTTAGGCTCCACATTAGTGGGAATAGAACTCCTTGTGGACATCCTCTGGTTATGGAGATGGTGTCCTGCCCTATCTGTGTCTCTGCAGTTCTCGTAGATAACAGCTGAGCCATCCATCTGGATGTAATGTTATCTACTCCTTTGTATGCAAGTGCTCTTTTGACAGATTCGTGTGGCGTGTTGTCAAAAGCTCCTATGTCTAGGAAGACACACACGACCCGACCGTTTCTTTGTTTGATAGTGCATCCTGGATTACGTCAGTCAACTGTACCAGAGCAGTTTCTGTAAATCTTCCTGCTCGGTTAATTCATCTATAAGAAAAGACTGACTATAAATTTCATGTTGGAAAAGGAAGTGAAGAAATGCAACAAATATCGGTTTGAACTAAAATTTTCTGTGAGTTAAAGCACAATTGCTCCCTCTTTATAATATTAGTCATTTTGGCATCAATCATACGATTCATTATATTTGGTCGTGAGAGGTTTAAAGAGTAACGTCGGCGAGCCATGATTGGACGCATGATGGTTACACCTCTACCGGTAGTCGAATAGCAAGTATTGTTTTATATGTCTATTTAATAGCATCGTTTATATCGTTCTCTTGGATCAATATAGGAAAGTTAACGTATCGTGCACCAGGACTCCTCGCGGATCAGCGGTCTTTGTTAAACACATGGTCCTATCCGAGGGGTAAACCACTCCGAAATACTGGTACGTTTTCACTCGAAATCGCTACAATTTTCGCAAATTATTATCGAAAATCATAGTCGAAATCTCGCCGAAATGTTGCAGCTTTTTGGATCAAAAGACAAGGAAATAGCCGAAAAAAAAGGTCATCGTATGAAATTAAGGAGGATTTTCAGTGAAATAATAAAATATGTCTAGGTGATTTCCGAAATACGGTTACGTTTTGACTAACAAAGTCGTGAAACGTATCGGTGACTATAAGGCTACAGCAACCATAGGCGGTCACGTCCCTGCAAGATGGCAGTAGCCTCCACTAAAATGGGGAATCGTCGGGTAGTGTTTCGACTAGTCCCGGCCTCTATAGATGTGACTATGTTTAGTTAGTGTAAAGGATCGGGCTAGTAGCTGTTACTACTCTTCGCTACGTGGCTGATGATTACAGTAACTAACAGTATCACTTTTTAATTTATTATATCTTTTATAATAATGGCGCAATTATATATTATAACAAAAAGATGTGTCCTTTAAGCACATATTTATCCATTTTTTCGAATGCAGTTTAATTTTTTGAAATAAGTTGACCTATTAAATGATAAAATTTCAACGCGACCTCAAAATAACCTTTTTTGTAATTTAAAAAGACACCAGTAAAAATTTTTGCTATACAGGGTGACCATTTGAAAACCAAACAGTCAATTTTGGCCACCCCAGGTCATTTACCAAAAAACGCTCGGACCCGTCAATTTTTGGGGAAAATATTTTTTTTCAGTTTCACCCCTGAACGGAAGCCTTCTAGCGGGGGGAGACTCACCCCTAAAATCTTAAATAGAAAAAAGGGTCGAATGATATCTTATTTTGAAGGTATTTTTACTTAGATTATAACCTCCGAGTTTTAAATCACTACTGCCAAGACAGCACACCAATTCCTTTGGATACCTACTGGACATCCCAATATCCACTGAATGTCCAGTCCATGGTGGATATCTATTTTATATCCATGAGATGTAATTTATAGACATGCAAATGTCCATAAATAATAGTAATTATATAGCAAATTATTAAAAAGTTACGCCATTGTAGCTAATAGTACCGTTCAGATATTTAAAATTAATTTTTTTAAGGTGTATTCAATATCCCATGGACATCCACTAAATACATCAGACTAGGCGCGAACGCAAACCATGGTGGATATCCACTAGATGTAATTTTTGATTTTGCTTACTAAGTATAGATGGCGATACCACTTTCGCTCGTTGAATAACTACTCATGCTCAACCCGCCGTAATTGAGTTCGATCGAAATTGATATCGCAGACTCCATTAGAGACTGGAGTCGAGAATTATTTCCATTTATTGCTGAAGAGTCCTAATAAGGATGACTTTCTCCTTAGTGGGCAAAATAAAGGCAGAGTGTTGAAAATATTTTTTATCTCTGCTATTTTCTTTCGACGTTATTCAATAATCATTGGTTACTTATGAACCTCTACTAAAGATACCCACAAAATATTTTGCTGAATATTAGAATATCTTCTATATCCTGGGTATAGACGGACATTTGGATATATATATTAGATCCACTGGATATATTGGATATCCACAAAATATATTCTGTGGATATCTCTGTGATTTCTTGTATTGTCTGGAAGATACCCATTAGATATTTTGCTGGATATCCATAGGATATCTTCTATATTCTGGATATAGACGGACATTTGGATATCCATATTAGATCCACGGGACATATCTGATATCCTGTGGATATATTGGATATCCACAAAAGATATTCTGTGGATATCTCTGGGATTTGGTGTGTTGTCTGAGTGTCTTCCTATCTTTTTACGATTTTTATTTTTTTAAATGCTTACCAGTCACTCGAGTAAATGTTGATAATGCTGACCCTGAGCAATAATAGAAGTTTTGTTCAAAACGCTCTCGGACATTTTGAAGCATCTGTGGGGTGATTTGATGACATTCATTAATTATACGTTGTCGCAGATTTTCCAGTAATCTTGGCTGGGTGGAATAAATTTTAGTTTCTAAGTTGCCCCATAAAAAATCTAACAGGGTTAGATCCGGAGACCGAGGGAGCCACTTGATACTTTCTCTTCTTCCGATCCATTGACCTGGAAACGTTTGATCCACAGTCAGTGCAAAATGGGGTGGCTTGTTGCTGGAATATTAAATTGTTTGCTATGTACTGATCGTCGTTCTCAATCAACTCTAGTAATGCTGGATAAATAGCGTTTTCTAATAATTCCAGATACATTTCTGCGGTTAAAGTTCCAGGTAAAAAAATGGGCCAATTATATGGTTACGAAAAATGCCAGCCTATTCAGTTTTTGCGAATGTTGCGTATGTACCTCATGAAATATTCTGGGATTTGAATCGAACCAATACGACAGTTGACGATTTACCGTACCATTTAGGAAAAAAGTACATACGTTGAAAAAAAAGTTCTGATCATTTATTGCCCGTTCAGTCATAATTTCACAAAATTGTAATCGCCTATCAAAATCGTCTTCGTTAAGTTCTTGTACCAAATGTATTTTGTAAGGATGAAACTTGTGTTTTTTCAATATCTTCTGAATGCTACTTCTTCTCTTAATACCAGATATTATCGCCAACTATCTTGTACTCAGTGTGGGTTTTTGAACAAAATGCCCTAAAATCGCCTTCATTTACTACAGCATTTTACATTTTTTGTTAGCTATACTGATCCGGTTTCCCGTTTGACTAACTCTAAAATATACTTTCGATGGACTTGTCGATTTTGATGTTGATTTTTAAACAGTTGGGCAGTTCTATTAGCACATTCATTGTTCGCAAAAAAAAAGTGAAATTATTTGCACCCTCTCAGCAATTGAGTAAACCATTCTCACTGATATTCCACTTTTATTCCGACACTACAACGAAATAAACTGAACTTTACTACTTTACGGCGACCAAAGAATATCATCTGATAACAATAATTGAAGACCACAGGAATAAAACTAGAATTGTTACAAAAAATTCTCTTTTTTTTTAATAAAAATGTAAAAATTATGTTAAATCGGTTTTGTACTTTTGGTGAGCCACTGTATGGGCTACGTAGATAGTAGCGATGTAAAACTCGGTGGTTATAATCTAGGTAAAAATACCTTCAAAATAAGATATCATTCGACTCCTCTTTCCATTTAAGATTTTAGGGGCGAGTCTCACCCCACTAGACGGTTTCCGTTCAGGGGGTGAAACCTGCAAAAAAATGTTTCCCCCTAAAATCAAAAATTGACGAGCGCTTTTTCGTAAATGACCTGGGGTACCCAAAATTGGCTCTGTTTCGTTGTCAAATGACCACCCTGTATAATTTTGCCACTATAGCGTAGCAATAAAGTGATTCTGTCCAGTTACAGTAACTAGCCAAATGTTACTTTGGTTTTGGGTGTTTACAGTTCCAATAAATGATATCGGTGTGTGGTATGTTACTTTTTAAGAGCAATCCTAGAGAGATAGTGCAGGTTCATGTAAGGCCATAGTCATTAGCGCCGCTCTTATTTTGACATATAAGCATGCGAGGGAAGGACTGACTATTAAATATAATGCCTGGCTTTAATTGTGGAGATTTAACGGCAGCAGATAGTTAAGAATGATGTTAGGTACAGAGGATTCTGGTAGTCTTATTTTCGCTAATACGGAATCAGCCGATGACGTAATGATGCAAGTCTGCGATACGTATGTGATCAATTTTTCCTAAACTTGGAACATCCTTATGAAGTCTGTCTTAAATGAGTAGGTGTACATTTGGAACATGTACTAAAATGTCAATAATATGTATTTCTTAAATAAAAAAAATACAATTTCAGTACTGTTTATTTCGGGCAATACTGTATTTCACATTAAATGTAAACATCTGGCCCAACCTACAATGTGGAACGACTTTGAAAAACATATATCTGCCACTGTTTTATGGTAAAAATAATGTTTTAATCAATTTTTACCTCATGCAACTTCTTACATGAGTGACTATTATAGAGATATAACGAATTTAAAATTAAATTATTTTTTATAAATGAGATTACGAAAAGTTATTTATACAAATATACAAAAAATATTATGTTGTGTTCATTCTTTCTAATTAAATCTTGTTTTTTTATCTATTTCGATATTTTAAGTACCTTAACTTTTAAAGAATGGAACTTTTCTTTTACTAATTACTTTTTAAACAGTTAATAATAATCGAAGTCTAAAATATCTACACATAAGATTTTCCCTAGTTTTAATGTAAAATGTTGAAGTTTAGCGTGGTCTTGGTAAGTAATATAACATCAAATATTTACGGTCTATTATCAATAAAGAAAAAATTGTTTCTTAGATTTCAAATGAATAAGATTTTTAATCATTTTACACGTAATAGCTTAATTTGTAAGTTTAAGAGGTTTAAGTTTAAATATCATTCTTACACATTAATCACCTCTTTCATCTTAAAAAAAAATCTAAATTATTTGATTTTCTTTACAGTCCTTTAATTTACTGATAGGGTCCGATTACAATTAGAATAACAGCTACGTCATCATTTGGCAACGTATAATTAATTGGTTATCGCCGCCTAATGGGGGCTTAGCGGAGTGTTAATATTATAGAAATATAGGAAATATTGTTTTACACCTTACTTAACAACTTACTATAATTTTTGTTTATTGAAAGTTATAGATAATATGCATTCGAAGTAATGGTTATGACGTAGCTGTGTTCTTCTAATTGTAATCGAACCCTATCAGCAAATCTAATAAGTAGTTTTGTTTTAGTAATTTATCTATTATTATATTTTATTTTTAAGATTTTGTCATTGGGCATTTCCTCGGCGCAAATAACTAGTGTAGAAAATGCTGATGGTTCATATTCAATAGGCATAAATTCATTAGGACAAGGTAAAATTGCCGATTCGGTTTTAGGACTTTTATCGCATGCATCAGGATGGACACCAACTTCACTAAAGCATACTCAATTAGATAAAGTAATTGCTCCTAGCAATGACGAAATAACGACACCATTAAAACGATCAGTGGAGCATTTGGTTCAAATTTTTTTGTTAATTTTGAAAGAAAATCCTTATATAATTAACATTTACAGCAGACTGTTTTCAATTATATCTGATTATCTTGCTTATGTATTTAATAATTCTGATATTTCAGTGAATAAATGGTATATGAAACGATTTGGACACAAGTAATGAATAAAAAAATGATTAAATGTATTTGTAATTTAATTTAAATATTCCAATATAACCTTTTCATTGTGTACAGTATGGCAAGAATAGCCGAAGGCTAGGGCTGCCAGATTTTCAGAAATGAATAGCGGGATGTATTAATTTTTGAAGAAAAAAACATTTATTTTAATTAAATACCTACTAAATATACAAATATATTATTGTAGCATCAAAAACAAAAACAAAAAAACAGAAACAAATTTCAATGCCTGATTAATAAAACATTTTCAACAAGTCAGCATACAAGTACCTATTCTTAATTTTGGTATCATTTTTGGCAATCTTCATGTCACGACTGTACATTTGTATAAACAAACACTTGAAAAAATTTACAATAGGTGGGCTCACACTTGAACTAAAATATATAATTTCAGCTCTGTGGGTTTTTTCTATAAGTACAAAGAATACTGAAATAGTATATTACATTACGAGTGTGGAAAGTGACATTTTTCACCGAGTGGGAAATATTGTCGCACGAGGCGCAAGCCGAGTGCAACTATCACACGAGTGTGGAAAATCACTTTTCACACAAGTGATGTACAATATTTTTCCTACGACCACAAAATAATTTCATCAAAAAATGTAAAACCAGATTATTATAATAATTAAAATGTATTTAAAAAAATAATCAACGATAATCGTATTTATTCAATTTTCATAATTTCTAAACAAATAAAAAAAATTAAAAAACAAAAAAAAATTCTGGCACAGCCAGGATTTGAACGCGGTCGCTCGACGATCTCAAATTGCAAAGTTGATGCTCTAACCAACTGAGCTAAAAGGCCTTATGGTAATTGATTGATCTAATCGCTTATGTGTTTAACCAGAATAAAAAGCAAATATATCTTAGTTATTTTAAAATTATTTTAATAATAATTGTTAAAGATAAATATCTAGGATCTAATTTACAACAATTTCAATAATTTAACAATCATATCGATTTTAGTATTAATATGGACATTACATAGATCAAAATAGAAATTATGTGTTTGACATTTTCTGACAGCTACTTTGGAAAGTAGCATATTCGTACGCGGGTGGAAAGTATATTCTTATTCATACCTACGCGTGTGATATAGGGCACTTTCCATAGGACTATATAGTGTGATATGTGTCACTTTCCTAACTGGTCGTAGGAAAAATAATTTATTGCTTCGCTTCTGTTTGTGTTTACAGAATCACGCCATCTGGTATTCTGTAATATTGACCCCTAACTTTGGATGTCTGCATATTATATAAATGAAATATAAATATATAAAAAATATACATAATTCAACAAAAAATGCTTACATTAAAATAGTTAAACTTATAAAAATGTCAAATTCCTAACCAATTAATTATTTTAAAATTACAAATATTTTGAACTGTTTCCTACTCTATCAAGAAGACTGTTTTCTTCCTTTTGCAAACTTTTTGCAAATACTTGGCAAGTTTCAGTATAATTAGATTTAATTATTAGTTCAAATTCTGTTTCTACAGAAAGAGAATATCTTTCTTTCCTCCAGGCTACAAACATTAGACTAAAAATGTTCTCACTCATCGCGTTTGAGTGAGAAAGATAAAAAAACAAGAGCAAATTTTGAAAAATTTGGAGATCTATGCCTCTGAAAATAATAAACCCATTGCTAGTTAATTTTAATGTCTTTAAAATTTAGTGATGGGTTTTACAAATATGATGACAACTTTACAAATTCTTCTAAAAGTAGGTCAATATCTACACCAATGGCAAACTCATCAGAAATTTATGTGAAATAGTCCAATTTAGGGTTTGTTTTCAAATCTATCGGCCCCAGACATATAATTAAAGATGGCACTTATAGAGATTTCGACGTTTGTGTAGATATGGGCGGAATGAACGATATAATTTGATAGTCTTGTTAGCATATTAATAATTTTTTAATATCTATTCAATGTAAATTCGGGGTAAATTAGGAGATTTCTGAAAATCGGGAGGTTTCTATTTCTATGGGAAGTTTATAGCTTAGTTTAAAAAGCGGGAGGGGGTGTGAAAAATCGGGAGATATGGCAGCCCTACCGAAGGCGGAAAAGTCATATACTTGGCCATATTAACAAATTTATTTACCAAAAAAATATAAAAAATAATGTATTTGTATGTAAACTAGTTCCAGGTAAATACAATTAGATTCGTAGTAGGAATGGAATATATCCATTTTTTTGGTTTTGAATTTGAATAAATTTAGAGAATAAATGTTCTTTCATCTCAATGGTACTTCATTGTATAATTTAGGTCTCAAGTAAAAATAACTTTTTTACCAAACGTTTTTTGGCTTTCCGTATTAATTATTTATGATAAGTATTTATATCTGCGTTTTTTTCATTTTGGCAAATAGCTGATAAATATATCGATAAAGATCTACCATTCGGTAAGTCCTTCGTCTGTGAAATATTGCTTTTTATATACTTTTAGGGTTATTCCCTATTACAACGAGACCCTATTATACTAAGCCTCCGCTGTGCGTCCGTCTGTCAGCGGGCTGTATCTCATGATCCGTAATAGCATTGTATAGACTATTACTGAGGCCCTTCCTATGGGGCCTCAGTATTGCATTCGTGCAGACGAAAAAATTTTCTGACCCCCATTTTTTAAAACTTTTTTTCATGTTTCTGATCATTCTGAATCCGAAAATCCAATAAAAAATTTTCGTCTGGTCGTCTGTATGTATGTTGGCACGATAAATCTAGAACGAAAGTTCTGATTGACTTGCGGTTTTAATTTTCTTGAATAATTACTTCTAACTTAGAACCCTATTGATTTTCAGAAATTTCGGTTCATCCTAACTACTTTAATAACAATTTTCTTAAAATCCGCCTATGCATTCCTTGGGTGGTATGATTGAACGTTTACGTTATCCGTAACGTACATGTTAGGCCGAGTTTTAACAGCAAAGAGACAAATTCGTATGATGTAAAGTCTTTCATAACATATTACTGTTATTTTCCGCCTGTTATGTTCTAATTTAACAGGTTTCCATCATACGAACTTGCCTCGTTACTTTTAAAATTCGGCCTAACATATACGTTACCTATAACATAAACGTTCAATCATAGGACCCCTTATGTGAACAATTTTAGGAATTTCAATTATTTCTGACGTCAAAATTTCTAACGACCTGTCAAACAACAGCTGTTGTTAGTAAAGGTGAAATTTCTAAGGCGGGTTGCGACCTTCATACTTCATTCGAAATTAGTCGCCAAGACTGCCAATTTATGAAAAATATATAAGCAGTTTCTTAAAAATGGTGGTGCTATTAAGCGTACTACTATTTCTCCCCTAGCCACAAAAACACCTTTATCAAATTTCTCTGTCGCAACCCCATAGAATAATTAAGCCGGCTCTACGGACGATAAGCGATAATATAATATATATATATATATATATATATATATATATATATATATATATATATATATATATATATATACAGGTAAAACGACGAAGTCACACCAAAAACTATTTAATCGTTCTCGCACCCGGAATTTTTGGCACTTAATTTGACTAAATGGCTCCTTATATATGGTTTATACATATATACATTCTAGCACCCTATATATTTATATATAATTAGTACATATATACCTTCTGGCTCCATATATATCATATTAAATAAAAGTTGACGAAAAACAAATTTGTTAGCTTGAGAATGAGTAGAACTTGATGGTGTAACGTTTGCTTTTAACACGTTGGCTTCCAAGCCAAATTTCAGGATTTTGGTATGTGATAAGTTTGGTTGAGGTGACTTCTGTACCGTGTGTCACCGTTGATATTAAGCATTATTTTTTGAAATCAATTTTAAAAATGTATGGTTTCAATTCATAGAAAATAAAACTAAAGAAACGATACTGGAATAGTGGGAATTACTAAAGATATACATAAGTATGAAAGCATCTAAAAATCGTAGTTAATATGATATGAATTAATTATAGCTACTGTTGTATTTATACATTTATTTTAAGAAAGTACAAACGTTAAGGGCATCTATAATCTGTAAAGTGTGGAGGGTGGGTTACTTCCACAGCACTTAGGCCTCATTGGGCCCATTGTGCATCCTCCTAAGACGACAGGCACCTCTTAGCTCGTGAGCCATCCTACAGATTTAATATAGTTGAAAACGTTGCCAAGAATTGCTTCTCTTATATCGGCTGGGTTAACCAATACTCGCTGAACACAAATATTCTAATAAATAAGAGCGTCGAGCAATCGTAAAGGATATGCTCGATGGTCTAATCTTCTTGTGTGCACCCTCTGCAGAGTGCGGATACTGACAGCACCATGATATGGAGATGCTTCCGTATTTTTTTAAATATGAAAATTGAAAAAAATACGTGTTTTGTTATTTATTTTAAATAGGTACTTTTCAATAATCTTATGGCCGATCTTTTCTTTTCGCTATTTATTTTGTACCATTTTGATTATTGTTCTGCAAAAAATTTAAAGTAGAATTACAAGAAAGTTCTTGTTCACGATTGTTCATCTTATTAAATATTGTATTAAAAAAAATGAACTAATATTTTTTTATACCTAATGTTATTTCACCGTTATTATCCTATGAAAGTGTTTATAAATGAAATTAAGTTTTTAATTACGACAAAACACAAGAGGTAAAACGCTATAAAACTTATTTATTAAAGCATATAAAAAAACCAGACACATTTTGATTGAACTTTATAGCCAGATTTCCTGATTTTTTTTATAAGATGAATTTGTAGTCGTAGGAAAAATATTGTAAATCACTTGTGTAATAGTGATTTTATACACTTGTGTCCCACTCGAGTAAAAAATTTCAATTTTCATACTCGTAATGTAATACACCATATCAGTTTAAGTAATACAAAAACAACATAGTTGGCTCGGTAGCGTAGTTGTCTAAGGCGTTTATATTTACTTGTAGGCAATTTTATAATTGAGAGACAAACGGCTTCGAATTCTACGGCAAAACAGGTGA